TTTTGATGATAAATGGACACATGAAAGCTCAAAAGCACTGTTATTTCTGCTTTATTCCCCCAAGCTTACAGTCACCACCCTAGGAAGGAAAGCTCAGGGAACCTGCTTCTTAACCAACTCTGCCAAATTCCTTGCCTAGGAAGTTAACTTCTACGTAAAGTTTAAAGATTGTGATAGAAAAGGCAGACAAACCAGGCATGGTGGGTCACACCTGTAATCCCAGCACTCAGGAGGCATGCTGTGAGTTCAAGGCCAGCCTGAACTGCATAGCAAGACCCTGTCTCAAAAAGACACACACAAAAAAAATTAAGCAGACACAAGTAGGTACAGAGGAGGGTCACAATTCCTAATTGTGAAATGCAGGGCATCTTTAAATGCTCATGTAGTTATTGGCTGCCATCCTGTCCTCTGATGAGCACATGGTCCAGCCCAAACTGGTAACAGTTCCTTACTGGGGATGGTTGGCTTCAACTGCTGCCAGACTGAGGAAGGAAAGAGGCCCTGGGCAGTGGCTGGCAGAGTGCCATCTCTTTCACCTGGGAGGAAATGAAAAGGGACTCATCCACTCACCCCCACCATGTCCGCTTTATCACTGGCCCACTGCGCCCTGCAAAAATGTACTTCCCAGCTCAGTCCTCTCCCTTCCCCTCACCAGTCTGTGCCCATCTCTGTATGTATGGACACGGGCAGTTCCCTGGGTGAACTGAGGAGGTGCCTGGCTCCCTGGGCCCACTGGCAATGACACAGCATGTGGACGGGGCACAGACTGGCAGCTCTTGGCATTTCCCAGGAGCAGCAATTTCATCCAATAACCCACCACACTGAATGCGGGAGCTGTGGAGATAATGACTGTTTCCTGAATAGCGTGCTGTTTAAACAGTGCTGCTGTGGTGTTTGGAGAAATTCAGGATGTTTTTGCATCCCAAGTGCTATTAGAGCTGCCTGGTGAGGTTAACGCACCTCACAGGCGTTAAGAGCAGGTGGCGGCCAGCCAGATTGCTGGCAGTAGGGTGGCTGCTGTTTTTCTCATTCCAGCAGTTGGCGGAGGAATGCGTGCTTCGGTATAATCAATAGCTTTCCATCCTCAAAAAAGGAATGTGTTTTCCCAGAACCAGAGTGTGAAGATGCTGTACAAAGCTTCAAAAATCCTCTCAAAAAGAGAACAACGTCCTAAGTCGCAGATGCCACTCAGGAACCCCCTCAAATTACCCATTCTCAAGCCTTTTTGTATGCAGAACTCAAGTCCTACTCAAGCTACCGCAAGAGGGTCTGTGTGTATGTGTGTGTGTGTGTGCGTGTGTGTGTGTGTGTGTGTATGCACACCTGGATGTACTATTGAAAGAATGTAAGAACAAAAATAGATCTGGAACTCAAAGGATTCAAAATTAATCACCAATCACCTGTACCTCCGTCCATCTCTCAGGAACCACATGACCCCTCCCATCTCCAGTTTCCTCGTGGGCTCAGTGACTAAGTATTTCTGGCACTCAGTCTGAGGTGGCACTGAGAAAATGAGCGAGAAGACAAAGATTAGAGAGGCCTTTCGTGCAGGCACGGGAGAGTTAAAGAGAAATGTAAGTGTTCTCAGCAAGAACAAAGAAGTGAAGCTACTTTTATCAGTGTCAGCTGAGGGAAGAGTTTTGGAGATGGACAAAATGACATATTAACAGTTGATTTGAAGGAGCACCTGCCTGTGTAAGACAGAAAACAGAAAGATTTACTGGGGGCTAGATGGAGGTGTGGGTGGTTGTGGAGTCTTGAGGTTGGAGGGGGCTGGTGCCCACATAAAAATGAAGGGGCAGGTTTATCTCTAGAATGAGAAGGGGAACATAGAAGTTACTCTTGGAGAGATACGTTGCTTCTCTAGGTTGGCTATCAGGTTGGGTGGATGTCACATTACCGATAGGTAAGCCCAGGCTAGCAGAATCTATCACTCATCCCTTCCCCTCATCAACTATTGTCCTGTTTGTTGGCCTTGGCCCCCAAGCCCACTAGCTTTCTTGCCTTCTCTGTCCTGATTGCTGTTTTGTCCCTGAAATTTTCCTATGCATCTACTTGTTCAGTTTGTGCTTTCCTCTAAGTCCCAGGAGAGGAGGACTTTGTCCTCTACATCATGATGGCCACAGCCCCTAGAACAGCATGACACAGCCAGTCAGCTCTTGGTAAGTGCATGATCCCTTCCCACCTATGTCTTCTTGTACCACAAAGTTTTCTTGGTTAAGATTTCCAAAAGCGATCATCTGATTTGTTGACTGGTTATAGTGTCAGCATTTGTCCTTAGTCCAACCAGGCAGATAAAGGGATGGAGTCAGTCTGCCCCTTTCAAGAATTGTGAGGGGCGCTGGGTCTCTCGAAGGACCTACAAGCCAAGAATGAAGCTGAAGTGTATCTCAGGGGACTCACTGGCCTGTGCACCATTACTCACTGCTACACATGTGTACATAGGTGTGTGCCACACAGTCACTACCACACTCACTATAAAAACATTTAGCTTACATTGGGTGCTCAAATTTTTGTAAGGTCTAGGGACCAGGGCTTCAGCTCAGCAGCATTAGTGCCTGCTTGGCAAACTCGACGTTGTGAGTTCAAGCCCTGGTATAAAAAAAAATTTTTTTTATTAGGTCCCTGCTTCAAGATCCTGCATCAAGTTGTTCCCTGTCTTCCAGAAGGGCTCCTTCCTGCTGTCAGTCTATAGTTAGTATCACCTCATTTCAGCCTTCAGCTTCAAGTTTATCTCCTTCTCAGATTCTACATTCTGAACTCCTTTCTCCAAACTCAGGGACCACCTTGATTCATCATCTCCAGGGCACTTATTCTAGGTTTCTTCCCAAGAGAAAGGTAACAATCAGATAATAAGATGCCACAAAAAGCTCCTATCATGATAATCCGTGGCTTCCATGGTGGGTGCATGAGGCTGCAGTGAGCATATTCATGTGGAGGGCAGAAGCCCCCAGGGCCGGGCCATCTGTGAGTGCCAGCAGCATAAAGTGACTCACAGAGACACAGCAAGGGTACAAGAATGTTGTGGTCTGTGTCTAGATGTCCCCTCAAAGCCTTATGCAGTCCTGGAGGTGTGCTTTTAATAGGTGGTTGAATCTAGAGTGTGTGACTGATTCATGGTTCAATGCTGTGATTGAGGATACTGGGATGAAAGGCCGGGTGATTGCTGGATCAGCCCACTGATTGGATTGGCACCGCCCTCATCCCAGCAGTCTGGATAAGCTAAAAGGGATAGAAAGAGGCTTGTCTTTCTGCTGTTGCTTTGATAATTTTTGCCTGCCATAACTGCCTTGGACCCTTGCCGATTATGGACTGAAACCTCTACTAACTGTGAGCTAAATAAACCTCTCCTCCTTTAACTTTGAGTGTTGGGTATTTTGTTTCAGTAATACGAGAAAAGAAATTAAGACCGAGGATAGGCTTTGGCCACTTAGCAACCATCTGAACCATCATTTGTGTTCTTGCCTATACATTAGGGTCACCAGGCAAAAATATCCGCGTTCTTGGAGGAAACATGTGCATTTTGTGAAGTGAAAGAAGACAATCTGTGAAGGCTATCTGGTATATGAACCAATTCTGAGTCATTCTGGGAAAGGCAAATCACAGAGATAGCAAAAGAACCAGCAGCTGACAAAGGTTAGTGGAGGAAGAATAAATAAGCCAGTCTCAAAGGGATTTTAGGGCAAGGCTCTGTATGATACTGTCCTATGGGATACCTGATGTATACACTTGTCTAAACTAACAGAATGTACTACACCAAGAGTGAACCCTGATGTACACTATAGGCTCTGAATGAGAATGTGTCCACACAGCATCATCACAAATGCACCACTCAGGCAGAGGATGTTGGTAATGGGGAGGTTACTGTGGGAAGGAACATTCTGTACTTTGTGCTTACTCTAGCTATGAATTAAAGCTGCACTAAAAAATAAAGTCTACAAATAAATGTCTATGTCCAGGGTCTACTGAAGATACTGTGAATAATTACAGAGCTTGAGAGCCATTGAGCTGCAGCTGTATCAAAATATATCATAAGATAAAGATAAGGGCTTTGGTTTCAAGGTGGCCTGACCATAAATCTCAGCCCCACCATCTACCGGCTTTGCCATCTTCTGCAAGACATTTAAATTCTATGGGCCTTGGGTTGTAGCAGTGCACTTGCTTAGCATGCATAAGGCCGTGAGTTCCATCCCCATCCCCACACAAAACAAATACACAGGGTGTCTCTGAGCCTTTCTTTCCATAAGTACTAATAACTCTAGTGGTGGCACATACTCTTAATTACCCAGCACTCTCGGAGGCTGAGGTAGGAGAATTACAAGTTCAAGGGAATTGAGGAATCTGGGAATTTCATGACTCAGTCAGATCTTGTCTCAAAACAAAACTTTTTTAATGATCTATGGAGGCCCTGGGTTCAATTGCTTGTGCTGAAAAAAAAAAGAAATCTAATAATTCTTACCTTATGAGTGTAACATGTTCAAAATTCTTTTTACACAATATACCCTTAATGAAATGGCATATACACATGAACTTCTCCCATAACCTATTGCAGAGTAATGATCAACACTGTTTTAAACATGCAAGACAGTGGTGTCACCTACCCAGCAAAACCCTGGGGCTGAAGGCAGAGGATGACTTTGCCTCTGTGTTCGCCCCCATTGCCCTGCATATGAATAGGCAAGCTACATCCAAGCAGGCACGCCCACATCCTTTTGGACACGAACATCTCCAGGTTTCAACTTTTCACTGAGGCAATGCCTATTAACAAGTAACACTCGGGTCAGCAACTTCAGACCATGAGGCAGCAATTCTGCCACCAGGCAGTTGACATGGGAGCCAACGACCGCTCTTGAATAAGAATGCTGTGTCTACAGAAAGCTCTGGGTGGCAGAGACCCTGTGGAAACATCACAGGAATGCGGACCAGGCACATACCATATTCTTCAGGCACATTTGTATGTGAGGAAAAAGCCATCATGCTGCACAAAAGACTAGGAAAAATAACTTCTCCAATGTTTTATTAGCAAAATAACAACATACAGTTTTCAAAACTCATTAAACAAATGTTTCTTGGCTTCTTCACAATATATGACCCTCTTCTCACCCAAACCTAGAACTTCAAATGCAATAGTATGAAGCTGAGAGCTTACGAAATCTGGCTTCATGTAGGCCAAGTTCATGCATAAAACAAATATGCTGCAACCGCTATGGGAGAGAAAACAGCAAATTTTAATTAGGATAATTATTTCACAACTTAATTTAGACTTGCAAATTGTTGAGGAGCCTAGGTCTCTACTTTGAAATACAAGATGTGGGTAGAAATTTTAATGTTGCAATCAACAGAGTAAATTAACACAAATTATATTTATGGTAACAAAGTAGATTCTGGACTCCAGATTATGAATTACTTGTTATTGTTTTTCAACTGTGAACTCTACCTAAGACTTGTTCATCATCCTTGATAATAGGCTCAGCATAGTATAGGTCATGGGTCACACACAGACTGCCGCCTGTTTTGTAAATAAAGTTTTATTGGAATAAACCCACTGTCATAAGTTAACATATCATTTATGGCTGCTTTCATATTGCACCAGCATGTGTAGTTGTGAGATAGTATGGCCCACAAAGTTGAAAAACTTACTATCTGAATGTTTGCCAAGCCAGGTATGGTGGTACACGCCTGTAATCCCAGCACTTAGGAGGCCAAGGAGGGATATTGATGTGCAAGTTTGAGGCCATCCTGGGTTACAAAGTGAGTTCAAATCCAGTCTAAACTGCATAGCAAAACGCTGTCTCAAAAACAAAAAAAAAAGAGGTGGGGGCTGAGAATTTAGTTCAGCATCCTGACCACCTGTCTGGCAAGCATGAGGTCATGAGTTTGATCCCCAGAAAGAAAAAAAAAAAAAAAACTCCTTTGCCAAGTTCTACTCTATACAAATATAGCATAATATCATTTCCCCAACATACTCAGTCTAAACACCATGGTTTGAGGAACAATGCATTAAAATATGTTTGAAGATTTACACTTTACATGGAGCACACGGAACAGTAATGATGCATTAATTATTTGTTCCACAGCATTTGGGAAAAAATACTAAGTAAAAGTACCTTACACTACTAAATACCTACTTTTATGTAGATAAGAGTTATGCTAAAAGTAAAGGTTTTATTTCAGTCTTTATTAGTAATTACTAAGTAGTTATTTTCATCTAACAGAAATTTGGAAAAGAAATACAATTTCACATTATTTCTGCCTTAGTTTTTCCACAGACTAAATATAAAAGAAAATGGAATTGGTGTGTTTGATCCAACTCAGCACTTTCTAACAGAGATGAAATAGTGTCAATTACATGCACTGCAGTTGTTATAAAGCAAACTGAAACATAAAATATGCTCAATTTAATTAAAGCATAAAAATGAAATGAGGTATCAATAGTAAAAGAGTGGGAACAGCAGTATTAGTGTGGTAATCTTATTCATGCATCTCGATTCACTGCATCCAAAATTGTGTGGGTTTTAAGCAGTCATTATGGGAATCCAGTTAAAATTGAGCAACAAAGGAGGGGAAAAAACAATTTAAATAAGTGACATTTTTCTTTTTGCATTCAGCCATCTTCTAGGGAAGGGCTATTAAATTTTTAAGCCAGTTTTTAATCAAAGTTTAGTGGTACAATATTTAATTGAAAACAACAGCAGATGTTCTTTATCAAAACATCTTTCTTAACAGCTAAATCAAGGTCTGAGGATTTATTTAATGAGATAATGGTTGGTCTGCGGATAGAGCAGCATTTTTTACGTACTTGGAACACTCAGACACGCAGGTCTGGGGCCTGGCTGGGGTTCTGCTGGCAGCTTTCTGCTCCTCCTTGGCGGCTTTCCTGTCTCTCCTTGTGGGGTCCAAGGAAAGATGGGCTTTGTCCTAAACTAGACCTGGATATGAAAAAGACAAGCAACAGAAAACTGATGGGCAGGAGCCAGAGCAATAATTCACTCACTCATTCGTGCTTGCATACACATACAGAGCCGGAGCTGCAGTGAGCCGAAGCAACCTAAAAGCCAGTCATTATCCGGCCTCTCGTGGGCCAGGTACAGAGCAGGAAGCTAAGGAGCCACCAGACCTGAGACTCCCAGCAGGAAGCAAGGTCCTCACTCGGCCCCTCTGGCTTGCAGGCCCAGAAAAGAATGCTTCTGCTTCCTGTGCACCCGGAACAGTTTTTAAATAGATCCTGGAAGAAGAGGAGAATAGAGCGGCCAGATTTCAAATGAGCCCAGTCCTAGAGGTTAACTTTCTTCCTACCCTAGAGGCCACCAGGGAGCGGGCTTGGTAAAGGAGAATAGATGGATTGGGAAACTGGGAGCTGGGGTTTGATGGACTTGCTGGCAGGAAAAAAGGAAGGAAGGGTGGGTAGAAGCTTCAGCCTGGCAGGCAGACGTGTGTGGAGAACATGGCAGGAGACACGGAGCACAGTCCAAACCCAGGAGGCCCAGCGAGAAGGAGCTGGGCTTCCTGCAGACTGCTCACAGACGTCTACAAACGTGGCAGTGGCGTCAGGCAGGATCCCAGGCTTGGCTGGGCTTCAGAAACAAGGCAGTTCCCAGGAGGGTAACAGGCGAAGGAGGCCAGATCCTGTTGTAAAGAAAACAGAGGCTAGGGCTCAGTTTCTTCAGGGAATTCCAAAGGGTCATTGTCAGCCGCTAAGTAAAATTAGCTTTAAACTTAAGCAATACTGTTTTATCGGCTTGGTCTTAGCAGGTAGTTCCTGGAGCAGACATCCATGACCAGAGTATCTATCGTCTCCTGTGGTTCCCAATCCATCATAGTGGAGTGTGCTAGAAATGGGTCCAATTTGCGTAACAATTTTCACAGCATAAACCCTTGATAGGCCGGGACTGCCTACAGAGGCCCAAGTTAAGAATGTCATGTGTTCTACCTGGTTTGAGGCAGTTACACCTAAAATCCACTTTTATTCAACCCCCAATGAGCTGCTTCTCAAAACGTATTGATACAGCGTTATGATAATCATGTGACTCAAAGAGATCCAGCAAGATGGCTCCAGAGAGGCTCCTGAAGCAGCAAGATGTTATTCTCCCACATTACGCCAGTTTGCTGGACTTGTAGCATCCAGCACTTCCTTTCAACTGCTAAGGGGGTGGAGGTTTGCCAGGATCTGCATCATTGCCACCACACAGCCTCCCAGGGCTGTGCAAAAGACCTGCAGACACCTCCACCAGGTCTGCCTCCCACCCCTGAGGCTGTCAGGTTCTCCAGGGCGCCCTGGTTATCCACCCCCTGGCTCATGGCTTCCACACACCAGGCCAGACACAGGACAGCACGTATAGGAAGCACAAAGAAAGACATGAAACAAGGCATAGTTCACTCACTTATATGACCTACGAGAATGTCACACAACAAGAATCAACAGAAAGAAGGACTTGAAAAGCACTCCCTTTATTTGAGCACATCTGTACCTCTGTTTAAAAGTAAGTACTTTAAGGGCCTGAGAGGAGTAACAAGAAGAACAAGAAGCCAATTTGCCTTCCCTTGAGCCAACTGGCAAGTGGGCTGGGAGTCAAAAACCCCACCATCAACAGCAACCCTGTAAGCAACCACCTAATTCAAGGACAGACTGAGTTGATAGCACTTGAGGTACCAAAACAACTTAATGCTTGTATTGTTTGATTGCCTTTGCAGGCCTAAGGCTGGTAGTCTGAGCATCTATTAAGAGGATAACAATGTGTAACAGCAAATATGGAAGATTTCCTTCTGTCTTGTTTTTGAAATCCAATATTGTTTTCACTGTTTTGTTTTTTTCCATTTTATTGCTTTGTCTTATTCAGTGTTCTGATTGGTTTCATTCTGTTCTGCTTTGATTTGTATCATATCTGCTGCTATGGGCAGCAATTTTGAAGACAACAAGAAGCATTAACAGTAGCCTTTGTTGATTTCCTATTATCCTGTTTTTCAATCATGTATCACTTTCATTGTTTTGTTTTGACAGGCTTTAATCTGTTTTTTTTTACTCTCTTTAAAATACACTTTTGTTCTTTTTTTAAATTGGTTTTATTCTGTTTTATCTTATTATGCCTGATGGTATGAACAGCTATTTTGAAGAAAACAAGACATTATGGTAGTCATCACTGATTTCTTATTATATTGTTTTGAAGTCTTGTATCACTTTCATTGTTCTGATTAGCTTTATTCTGTTTTATCTTGTTTGATTTTATTCTCTTTAAAATAAAAAACAAAACAAGTATGTTAGTGGGGTGTGGTGGCACATACCCACAATCCCAGCTATTCAAGAGACTAAGACAAGAGGACCACAAGTGTGAAGCCAGCCTGAGCTTTATAGTGAGACCTTGTTGAAAATAAAATTTAAAAAGAAAAGAAGAAGAGGGGGTGCTGAGACTGTAGCTCAGTTGTAGAGTGCTTAGAGGACTTGCCTGGCATGCCAAGGCCCTGGGCTGAATCTCCTGTGGAAGTCATACACACACACACAGACGTTTCTAGTAAGTACTGTTATTATGACAGGGGGCTACTGAAGGAGGTTGGCATTAAAAAAACTGATGACTTTCGACAGTGCCAAACTTTTCAGACTCAAAACAGGGTCGCTTTGTGAAGCCCAAACCAAACATAAACTAAAAGAAAGGAAGCCAGAGGTTACGAAATACATCTTGTGTGCACATGCCTGATAACAGAAATGACCACAGAAGACTCTGTCAGATCCCCAACCTTGACCAAAGCCCACTACAAAACTACACCAAAAAAAAAAATCATCATAAGACTTGTGCAAGGGCATCTGCTCAACATCTGTTAATCCTGGACTGATTATTAGCCCAGGGTTATTCCAAATGGTGTTATGCTGTCATCCTCACTGTGCCTTTGAAAACGTCTCCTGCTCCAGTCTCCTGGAATAGCCGCCGTCTTACGACTGCACCTGTAGTCCCGCTGCCATTCCCAAGCGAAAGCCACTATCCTTTAGAGAGCCCCTCTCCATCAGTCATGAAAGGTGGCTACAGCGATAGATTGTAACAATAGCAGAATTAGCTTGTTTCTCACTTAAGAGGCCAACATACCAGCCACTTAGCTATACTGCAGGCACAGAAAACACAGCGTCTGTGCCATTTCCATAGTCCTGTTCAGGGAAGAAGTCAATCTTTAGCGTTAGTGAAAGGAATATTGAATTTCAGCACTTTAACAAGCTTACAAACCAACTTTGTACCAGTGAAAGGAATGTCATACTCATCCTCTTATGAGGCCAGCAATCCTGTGCTCAAAGGTAAGAATTCAATGCTTTCAGGATAAACTGTCATAAACCTCCCAAGGCACCCAGGAAACCTCTTCCGGGGAGCCTCTCACTTTAGTTACCTCCTGTGACTCAATCATTGAAAGTACTTTATTCTTCCTGGTTTGCTGTTCTCCCAGGCTTCTTACAATGGACTCTTTTTTCTGCTTTACCAAGGTGAATTATGGAATTGGACAACTGGGAGATCAGTACAGGATCCTGCATCATTTACCACCAAATGATGAAATCTCTCCCCATGACAAAAGAAGGATGAAGCCTAATGATGGTCTAGCCCCGTGACTTTCTTATCTATTTATCACACACACACACACACACACACACACACACACACACACACACAATGCTCTCCAATTTACTTGATAGGGGACATACACATAAAATTCTGTGTTAATTCAAAGTTCAAGTGTAAAGTAATAAATGTTAAAATAAGAAAATGTAACTCTTAAAAGTTTTCAACAGCCTCACATGACAGTACAGTGGAGCGTTTACAATCAAAATTTTCTTTGCAACTGTGTAGACTTGGCAGGTGGCTGTTACATGTTAATCTTATCGTGTCTTCCCAGCGTGAAAGGCTGTCACACAAGTGAGAAAAATGCACGCACATACACACACACGTGCACGCATCTTCCTTGATGACCTCAAAGCATTTTCAGGTATTTCTCTGTCCCTGGTGGTGTAGATTCAGGGCAAGCCACATGCTCCAGCATCACTTCATGGTAAAGGGACCTCTAGGGAGTCCTTGGAGCCCTCTGACATTGAACTTTATAGGCTATTAATGCTTTTTCAATTATATCATTAGCTATTTCCCTGCGCAGCAGTAGCTCTTTTAAGAGCACAGATACAGAATACAGATAGGAAATCAGTTTCTGTCCAATTTCTGCCCTTTACTACACAGTGAGATTTTATCATTGAGGCACTTTACAAACAGGGAGGGAACAATCGTGGAGGCTTTTCTGTGAGTCAGATGTCCCACAATGTCAGTGCAACAGTGTGAGGGAGCTGCCCTGACCCAGAACTGTCCCAGAAGGGCAGAATCAATTTGTAAAGAGTCCAAAAGTCAAGCTTGTCAGTCTCCCAACACAAACCAGCTTTCACTTTGCCTTAGATCCCCACATGAGAAATCCCACTGGTCAGGGCTTCTCTGCAATTCCTCTCATAGCCAGTCAGTGTGTGTGTGTGTGTGTGTGTGTGTGTGTGTGCACATGTGTGTATGTGTGTGTGTAGGGGTGCTGTGGACTGAGTCCAGGACACTGAGCTGCATCTCCAGTCGTTTTTATTTTTATCTTTGTTTTGAGACAGGGTCTCGCTAAGCCACTAAATTGCCCAGGCAGGGCTCAAACTTGTCATCTTCCTGCCTCAGTATCTTAGAGCCCTGAAATTACAAGGCTATATGCAAGTGTCTCATCGCCAGCACTAGTTGCTACTTAACCGCCTGAGTAGTCTCCTTCCAGATCTCTCCCATCCGTTCTCCTTTGTTTAGTGGGAGGATATGTCCCCACTGTCCAAGACGGTCTCAAGCCATACCTTTTGTCCCCAGTAATCATGACCAGTGTGCCCTTTTGCTCACAAACATGTCCATGAGGACCTGAATGAGGCTGTATGTAACTCTCCCTGCCCCCTAGGCATGCACCGGGCACAGCCAGATCCACTTCCAGGAAGAAGAAATGTTGTACTCTAAGAAAATAGCTTCGTTATATGTGTATTATAGCAAACTTGCAAACGTGGCTTACTAAATGTTTTTTTTTAATCCTTTTTCCCTAACTGATATGTTAAGTGACCTAATTGATATGTTGAGCAACACTCTCCTCTGTAAAGAATTGCAAGAATCTCACCTAATTGATATGTTAACCATTGTTGCCCTCTCCAAACTACAGAAGTTGTGCTAAAACAAGCTAACAAGGGTTGTTAATCACTGCTAGGTGCCTCTATTCTCCGCTAAAGAGCTAAAGAAAACTAGAATGGCCCGTTAACTTATACTTGTTTAAAGTAACCTGCTTGTGTGCAGAGAGATTTGCGTATGAGTTTAACCCTTTACCCTGACCTTGACACATAACCGCCGTTTTCTGTTCTGTATGGCGCCTTATTGCCTCTCTCTCCCCTCACCTATCTATCTAGGCCATAAAGAATTTGGGTTTCTGGTGACCTCTTCCCGACCCAGTGATGATCTGTCATAAAATGAGCCTACCCCAATTTTAAGAACTGTTTAGCTTCAAAGAAATTACCGGGAAATACTATGGCCCAAACCCCAATCGGTGCTTTCCTTTTGTTCTGTAGGCATCGAATGAGTTAGATATCAGATCTTTGTAAAACTTAAGTTTCAGCTTCTTGTAACTCTTGACCCCTTCACACCCGCTAGCGAAAACAAGCTGTCCTGGGATAATTAACTGTCCACTTTCTTCTCCAAATATTGCTGCAGATGTGCCACTCTGAGATAATGTCAGTCTGTAGGATGGGAGTAATTTGAGAAACACCAGGAACTCCCGAGATTGTCAGAGCTAAGTGGACAGCAATACAGTTTCCAGACTCGGGTCAACAAGTTTGATGGCTCTGCAGGTTTCTTTGTTTCTCCCCCCACCCTTTTCCTCCAGCCTCTTTTTAAAGTCCTCCCTTCAGTCTCTGGCACACAGTTTCCAAATTGGCTCCCGGAGACTGGTCGCCAGGCCTGGAAATAAAGCCTTTGCCACCTAAATTTTCGGTCTCTTGCCTCCTTGGATTTTATACCGGGGCCCAAGTTATAACAGAAACATGTCTGTTCCCACAGTACTGGTTTAGGAGGTTTTGAACCCTCTGTGATGCTGCCCAATGGAGGTGCTGCTTTCTAATTCCCATCAATGCACCGTGGAAATCACCTATTATTATTTTTTTTTTTTTGAGACAGGTTTCACTATGGAGTTCTGGCAGGTCTTCAACTCACTTTGTAGCCCAGGCCAGCCTCACACTCACAGAGATCCTCCTGCCTCAGCCTCCTGAGTGCTGGGATTACAGGCAGGTACCACCATACCTGGCGCTTTCATTCTCCTAAACTACCCCCACACAAATCCACTGCCCTCTTCTGTAACGATCGTCCTATACCACAAACCTGCTCTTTCCTCTCCCTTCATCCCACAGTAGCACACTGTCATCTAGATGTGGCATAATCAAAAACTAAGGTGAACATATAAAACCTTTTCAATTTATTACAGTAAAAAGAAATTGTCATTAATTTCCATTGAAAATATTCCCCCTCACTTCAAACACATCCCACTGTTCTGCCACTTTCTGAAGCATTTCTACAAGTTCTCTTTCACAAGTGTCTTTCGTTGTGCTGTGATAGCTACTTTGACGTCTTGAATTCATTTAAAACATTTACCTTTGTAGTAAATGTTTAGTCCTGGAGGAACTAATCAGGGGATTTCAGGAAAAGAAAGAAAAGCTGCAGGTTCAGCCAGCAGCCGCCAATGATGCAAGCCTGTCTCCACATTCTCCTCCACCCACTGAACAGAACCTGGGTAGCTGACATCTTGCCTGAAGAACAGAAGTGTGGAATTTCTCTTTAAAGGCTTTATTGACCTACCTTTTCTCCTTTCCCTGAATAAACACATCTCTTATTTTCAAATCCTCCAGCTTGGGGGGTGGGATGTGGGGGAATCCTGATAGGGTCCCTGCCTGCTGAGCTGCTAGGGTTTCGGAAGGGACTGGCAGTCTTACAGGTTCCTGTTCCAAGCCTGGTGGCATTCTTTTGTAATCTCATTTACTGGAAGGCTGAGGCAGGAATACTACAAGCCAGAGGCTACCCTAGGGAAGTTAGCGAGACCTGGAGCTACTGAGTGGGAGAATGCTTGCTTGCGGGCCCTGGGTTCAATTCGCAGCACCGAGACACTAACTTGACATAAGAAAAACAGAAAGTTTCACGTAATAAGAGTGGGAACAAGGTTCCAAGGACCCATAAATGAAAGTAGTTGGCAAAGACTTGTTCTTTCAGCGTGACTTCCAGGTCACCAACCGGTCCCCAAATCCACATTTTTCCCCCTTGTCGTCTTTCCAAACCACAAAGTACTCAGGTGTCCCCGAGGCCACGGATGTTTTTCCCAAGGCCTTCATCGCTAGCTCAGCGCTACCATCCCAAGCCTTTTTTATTTTGAAAGTGGTCTGGGCTGGGCTCCAATTGACGATCCTCCTGCGTCAGCCTCCCAGAGTGCTGGGATTACAGGCGTGCGCCACCACGCTCAGCACCTGCGGAGAATCCGTCTAAAACTTCGTAGAGGATTAAACTTCGGTCTGGGCCAGTAAGGCGAGGACCGAAAGGCTGCGGGTGCTGCAGCCCGCAGAGCTGGGGGCACAGGGGGCGGCGCCCGGGACGGCTTCCGAGGCCGGGCTGGGCCGGGCTGGGCCGGACTGGGCCGGCCGGGCGGGGCGGCGGGTTAAAGGCGCGCGCGTCCCGGCCCCGCTCACTCTCCGTCCGGCCGCCGCCGTCCCCGCCATGGAGCGAGCGCCGCTGCGCGCCCTGCTGCTGGGCGCCGCCGTGCTGCTGCTCCTGCTCGTGCCCCTCTCCTCTTCCTCCTCTTCGGACGCCTGCGGGCCCTGCAAGCCGGCCGCCTGCCCGCCGCTGCCCCCGCGAGGCTGCCCGCTGGGCGAGACCCGCGACGCGTGCGGCTGCTGCCCCGAGTGCGCGCGCGCCGAGGGCGAGCCGTGCGGGGGCGCGGGCGCCGGCAGGGGGCACTGCGCGCAGGGCATGGAGTGCGTGAAGAGCCGCAAGAGGCGGAAGGGCAAGGCCGGGGCAGCGGCCGGCGGCGCGGGCGTGAGCGGCGTGTGCGTGTGCAAGAACCGCTACCCGGTGTGCGGCAGCGACGGCACCACCTACGCCAACGGGTGCCAGCTGCGCGCCGCCAGCCTGCGGGCGGAGAGCCGCGGGGAGAAGGCCATCACGCAGCTCAGCAAGGGCACCTGCGAGCAAGGTGGGCACCTGGAGCGCGGCCGGGGCGGGTCGAGGAGGCCACGGCGTGGGCGCCGCCGCCCACTTCTCTCGGGTGGCTGGGGTTAGAGTTGGGTGCGCGCGCCCACAAAGTGAAAAGACGAAGCGGTGCTGCGCCTGGATAGAAATCTCGGGGACCTTGGGCTCCTGCGTCCCCAAGGAGACCCCTGGCAAGGCAGTGAGCCCACAGCGGGGATCCAGATGTGTTCGTTTCTCATGCCTCTTTCTTGGTTTGGGAGTGGAGTGGCGCTGTCAAGACAGGAAGCCTAGAGGCGTTTGAAGTACAAAGTAAGGACTGTCAGAAAGTTGACCCTCTAACTGGCTAGATTTGCTTTTATAAAACTGGATTTCACATTTTTTTAATGCTCTCTTACTGGAAATTATCAGTTCCCAAAGAGTAATCCAACTAATTGCTGATGGACAAAAATAAGATACAAACTCTTCGAAGAGTGTTTTTAGGATGTACTTTGTTGTGAACCATTGACATTTTGAGTGGTTTTTGATTTTTACTATAATTTGTCCCTAGGCTGCACTGCTTGGCAAGGAGACCTTTGAGGTTGTTTGATGGTTGATTTTATTCCGTACAAGTCCAAGCTAGTTATAAATAACAGTCTGAACTTGCAAGGGGAAAAAAAAAAAAAAAAACCAGTTAAGGCTAGTGCCTGAAGTAACATTCCCATTGTAACTTTCATTGCCTATAGTTCAGGGGAAAGTTAGAGATCCGTTCTGCTGAGGTGACAGAGCACACAGTTCAAACTTTCTCCCACATTTCCAGACAGCAGTGGTTTCGTTAATGCTCTTCCCAGAAGTCCAGATGCTATTAGATTGTATGCCATTAGTTTCAAAGTTCACTATGGAGTAAGCTGGCTATTCATAGTATCATTCCTTTAAATTTAGAAAATCACAAGCCCCCCCAAAATCCATATGTGTATTTCCACCAGAAAAGGCCAGTCGTTCCTTTAAATTACATCACAAAAAAAAAGGAAATGTACTTTGTTCCAAGAATTCATTGCAAATATTGAGATTTTCTTATAAACATCCCGAGGGACATTTGTCTCCCATAATCTTACACAGTGACTGGTAATTGGGTCAGCTGAGTGTTTGGGTGGTGATTGCTCCTAAATATTAAGCCTGGCGGTCACCCTGCACCAGTCTCCATCCTCAGCAACTCTTTAGACCCCAATCCCTTGACAGTGCAGAAGTGGCCTTTTTTCTTTTCTTTTCTTTTTTAATGTTAGCAGAAGTGGAATCAAACTGGAAACTTTGACATGAGTTAGCCTTTTTTCCTCACCCTAAACTGAGAAGTATGGAATCTAGAACAGAAAAGGACTCTAGGTCAGCGCTAGAGAGAGTCAAGAGACCATGAGGTCCACCCACCAGCACACTTTCCATAGTAGAGATGAATGCCAGGAAAATCAAGTCTCCTAACTTCTCCTGACTCTTCAAAGTGTCTTGTCAGTGATAGAAACAAGAAGAGTACAATTTACATCTGTGCTGTTTAGTACTGAGGCTTTGGGAAACATATTTTCTGGCTTCCATTCATCATTTCTGTTCTCAAAAGAAACTTGAATTATACTTAGGAACAACTTGCATATTGATGGAGAGCAGGCATTGTAGGACTTGGCCACAGTGATGTTTTTCAACCCACATTCTGTTCTGTTGGTTACATTTAACATAGTCATGTGATTGAAAATGACAGTGCACATTTAAATATTTTTTAACATATTACAATAAGACACACTGCCATTAATCCTTCTTCGAATACTCTCCCTCCCATCTAATAATTAGCCCATCATGCCTGCCACTTTCTAAAGCAGTTCTAGGAGTTTTCATTCCTGTCTTTACTTACACTGTTGTGGCTTAATCAGTGTCCTGAATCAATTCAAAACATTGACCTTTCATGGTTATTTTGACTTTGGGGAAGAGCCAGAAGTAACATCTTGTCAGATCCTGTGAGTAGGTGGATGAGGACCCTCAGTAATTTTTTAGGAGCCTGCCTTTCTTATGGATGGTTCATAGCAGCAACTTTCACTGTATTATCATACCTCCTAAGAAGAAACTCACAAAAGAGGACTCCTAGAACTGCGTCAGAGAGTGGCAAGAATGATGGGATAAGTATAAGTGAGAGGGAGCTTTTCAAGGGGGATTAAGAGCAGTGTGTCTTTCACAATAATTGGAGTTTATTTAAATATACACCATTGGTGTTGATCAGCCCTGGTACATTTACTGAGCAGCTAGCTGCTGTCAGCACTGTACTAGGTGCTGTGTAGCAGGGATATAGGAAATACATCTTGTCTTGCTGATTGAACAGCTGCACACAGGGCAAGGGATACAGCTCAGGGGTAGAGACTTGCTCTCCAAGCAGGAGGGCTAAGTTCCAGCTGATACCACAAATAAGTAACAAGTAAATGACTAAAGGCATGTGTGTGCAAATGTTGCAAAGTCCCAGAGCACTTTCCCTGGGTCCCTGGAGCAGTTCACCATCTTCTCCTTTACAAGACCAAGATCATCATTTACTTCCCTGCTGGAGAGAGGTCTTATGCTGCCTGTTTCTGAACTCTGCGGTCAAAGGCTTAAAAAGTCTGTTTGAGAGGGAATGAGCTAATAATCTCAAGTCTTGGAACTGTCATAGTGAATTTAGTGCCATTAGATGTTATTGAGGTCCCTGCAATCATGGGTAACTGGAAAAGGGGAGCAGATAAGCCAGTTTAATAAAAAGGAGTTGATGTAGAGAAGCTGACACATATAATACAATCTCATTATTGGAAAGGAACATGGTGTTCCTCTAGTGCAGTTCCTGGCTTCATCTTTCATTCATTATCTTTTACATTGATGTACCTTGACAGTCCCGTTCCAGTTACTTGGCTTCTTTAGGTATCGTTCCTTCTTCTGTCTCAGAATTAATTTAATTATATAACAAGAATGTCATTCTTCAGGATCTTCCTTAGTATGTTTAGGACCAAGTTCAAACTACTTTCTGGGGCACAGGAGAGTCATTACAATATAACCCTGTTACTTGGTTTGGTTTGATTCTTTTGGTGGTTTTTGGGGGGTTTTGGTTGGGGTTTTTTGGGGGGAGAGGTTGCTTTGGTTTTTTTTTTTTTGCCACTTCTATCCAACCTCCTTGATGGTCCAGCCACAAAACGCATCTGTGCCTCAACATCTCCTGCTTCTTCATCCCACTGTGCTTCTGCCTTGAATGCTTCCCTGGCTACCCACACACCACAGCCGCACTCTCCCTGGCATCTGCCTCCCCTGTGGACTCTTTTATTTATTTACTTATTTATTTTTGTCTTTTTGAGACAAGGTCTCACTATGCAGTTCAGGCTGGCCTTGAGTTCACTTTGTAGCCCAGGCTGGTCTCGAACTCGCAACAATCTTCCTGTCTCAACCTCCCAATTGCTGGGATTACAGGCATGAGCCACCATGCCCGGCTCCCCACTGTGGACTCTTATCTAGTCTGTAAGGAGCTTGCCACTTTCTCTGAGAAGCAGCCTGACTCTCCTCCCCGCCTGCCCCATCACAAGTCCTTGCTCTCCAATCATGGTTCAGCCTCCAGCCATTGTTGCAGCAAATACTCCCTGTACTGCAGCAGGCCTGGCAGAACAGTGAGCTGAGAGCCTGACTCCCAGGGTATGAGCCTTCCCTCTGCCCTTCGCTAACTCTAACTCTCTACCATGGTCCCCTCACTTGTAAAATGGGGATTATATCCACACCTAGCTCATAAGGTTGTCATGAAGTGTCTTACTTTTTACTCATTGCTGAGACAAAATACCTCAAGCCCAAGTTGGGGAAAAAAAGGTTTATTTCTTACAGTTTTTGGAGGTTTCAGTCCACACTCAGTTGGCTCCAAGGCAGGTGGGCATGGCTGGGCCACAGTTCAGGAACCAGCAAACAGCAAGACACACCTTCTTCCTGCCATTACATCACATCCTGGCTCCACCCCTATGTGGGTGGAGCACTGACACCATCAATCCAAGCACTAGACAGAACCATCACAAATGCACAATGCAAACTCATGAGGCCTGGGGGGCACAGACATAAACCATGACATTAAGATTAAAAGTAATAAAGATTGATGCTAGATGGGCCAAGAATACAGCTCAGTGGCATAAAGACCTGCCTGGCAAGCACAAGGTCCTGAGTTCGATTCCCAGTACCACAAAAAAACTGATACAAGAAAGGACTTGATGAGTATTAATCATTGTTGTTACTCAGCCAGAAAGTAAGCCCCTGAAGGAACAGAGTTTTTGTCCCTGCATCCCAGGAAAGCAGACCACTCGCTGGCATATAAGGGTGCTTTGAACACACCTCAATGAGTGAATGAGGGAATATAAATTGGCAAGCACTCTTCTGATCTCTGGGCAGGCAGCCTTGACTTAAATACACAAGGTCCCTCTCTCATGGAGTTCAGTGTAAGCTTTAGAAACAAACAGGTGTCATCCCATAATTGTATGTATTATGTACAGTGTAATCAGCAAGCTAGGTTAGAGTTTAGAGATAAATGGGCAATACCCAGTGAGGTTGGCAGAGCCACGCCAGGATGCCAAAGACCTAGCAAGGCCAGAGCCTGTAAGGAGAGCAAGCTCTGCTTCTGTATGTACCTTTCCTGCTGTCTCAAGAACGCTCTTCCCCACTGGACTGTGAGCATCGAAAAAGAGGGACTGCTTCCTGTGTTTAGACTTCCTTCCAAATACAGTGACTGGGTAATAGTTGGGCCTTCTATAAATATTTGTTGATTAAACAAAGGAATCCTCATAGAAAGTGCCTTTTTATTTGCAGATGTGGGCAGCAGACTCACCTACCTGTCTGTTCTTTTTGCCTAGCGTCTTCTGCCTTCCTGAGGTCTAGGATTTCCAGAGAATTCATCTAACGTTGACTGCACTTTCCATCCTTAACCATCTCTGACATTAGATGCTTACTTCCTGCCCAACCTTCAACTGTCCCATGTTCCATTGCTGGATAGAATTGGGTCCAGAAGCT